CCCCCAGATCATTCTCCACGGTCCCCTTTGTGAGGATGCTGGCCCAGATCCCCTATGCGGCTTTCAGGCCCCTGAACTCCACACGTCGGCTCATCAGGGCCGGTGGGCAGCTCTCCCCTGCCTGCTTATGTGACAGGGACAAGTCACTTTGCTGCCTGAGACTCAGTTTCCTCATCTGTAAAAAGGGAATCATTATTCCCCACTGGTCAGAGATGTCCAGTCAGCTTTCCGGCCCAGAGACATGGATGTTGCAGGTATTATGAAGAGAGTCAGAAAAGGGTCTTTCTTGGGGGGATACCCAACTCTTCAGAACATCCATGGATCTCCCCTGGCCTCCGCCCAAGCCTCCAGAGGAACCTGATCCTTCTCCTCCTCTGCCTCCCCTGCCCCCACTTGCCAAAGCCGTCAATTCTGCTTTGAGGAAAGGAGCTGTGTGACCCATTCCTCCGGGCCTCAGTTTCCTCATACGTAAAAATGAAGTTCAGACTCAGTGGCCTCTGGGGTCCCTCCCAACTCTGAAGCTAAGCTTCTATGGAATTCCTCCCCAATGAGGCATAAATAATGAATAAGGTCTTCTTAGAAGAAATTCAGATCGTCTGAACCAGTCCAGTCACCACACATGTATCAGACGCCTGCCATGTGCCAGGCCCGGTGCCAAGTGCCTGGGATACAGAGAAACGCCAAAGTGTCCCTGGCCCTGAGGAGCTCCCAGTCTAATGAAACAACATGAAAACAACTCGGCATAAACAAGGTGTAAGCAGGGTGATTTGGAGATCATTGCAGGAAGGAAAGACTGGGAAAGGCTCCTTGCAGAAGGTGGGGCTTTCTTGAGCTGAGCCCTGAAGAAAGCCAGGAGGCAGGGACGAGGAGGGAGGGAACTCCAGGCAGAAGGCACAGCCAAGGCAAAGGCCCAGAGTTGGGAGATAGAGAGGCAGCCAGTGTCACTGGATCGTAGAGTACTTGGAGGTGTACGGGAAGGAAGGAGCCGGTTAGCGAAGACTTGGAGCTGAACAGAGGGCTTTGTGTGGGATCCTGGAGGGAACAGGGGAGTCATGCAGCTGAACGAATAAGGAGGAGGTGGAGGGGAGGTGATCACATTGACAACTGAGTGAAGGATGGCCTGGAGTGGGGAGACACGGTCAGGCAGACCCCCCAGCAGCTACTGCAGTGGCCCGGCTGGGTCAGAGGAGTGAGATTAGGAAGGTAGAAACAACAGGAACTTGGAAAATGAGGCAGCTAGGGGCACCATAGTGCATAGAGCCTGGGGTCAGGAAGATCTGAGCTCAAATCCCTCCTCAGACACTTCCTAGCTGTGTGTGACCTTGGGCAAGTCACTTCACCTTGCCTGCCTCAGTTTCCTCATCTGTAAAATGAGCTGGAGAAGGAAATGGCCAACCATTCTAGTATCTCTGCCAAGAAAACCCCAAATGGGGTCACGGAGAGTGGGACATGACTGAAAAATGACTTAACAAAATGATTAGAGATGGGGTGCCCAGGATGACCCCTGGGTTGGGAGCCTGAGCACTGGGAGGATGGGGGAGGGCTGAGGGGCTTAGGAGGAGAGATGGTGAGTTCTGTTTTGGACATGTTGAGTTTGAGGTGTTCACTGGACGTCCAGTTGGGGATGCCTGAAAGGCGGCTGGAGATGAGCCATTGGAGGTCAGCAGAGAGGTGGGGGCAGGGAAGGTGGATCTGAGCTTCAGCAGCATAGAGGCGGTCACTGCAGCCATGGGAGCTGAAGAGCTCACCAAGGGAAGGAGAATGGAAGGAGAATGGGGGCGGAGCAGAAGGCCTGGGACAGAGCCCTGAGGGACCCCCGTGGTTAGAAGGTGGGATCCAGAGAAGCAGCGGTCAGAGAGGGAGGAGGAGAACGGGGGAGGGAGGGTCCTGAAAACCTAGGGAGGAGGGACAGTGTCTGAGGCTTCAGCCATCGGAAGCTCCCGGTGCTGAAACGCCCTGTGCCGACGCAAGCTGGCATCTCTTCTGAAGTTCACAGTCTTCCAGAGTTGAACTGGGCTCTAATAGGTGAAGTGACTTGTCCAGGGTCACTCAGCTAGTCAGTGTCTGAGGGCGGATTTGAACTCAGGGCGATGAATCTCCCTGACTCCAGGTGCCCCGCTCTGTGCACTATGGCGCCCCCTGGCTGCCACTAATGAATAAGCAGAAATCCACTTACCTGATCGGACCCGGCCACTTTGCGGTTCCTTGCAGGCTGATAGCCCATGTCTCCCTGCTCTTTCCTGGCTGGTTGAGTCTTTTATATTCTTGTGTTCTAAAGCCCCTTCCACCTCTAACATTATATATTCCATTTCCCAGTCTTTGTCCAACCCCTAAAAAATATCCCCCCAAAATAAAAAATAAAATAAAAATCAATCTCTAAAAGCCAAATGTGTTTCCAGTGTGGAAGAGGACCCCGTGGGCAGGCATCTGGGGAACTTGTTTGTGTTCTAAAGCTTTGCTTTCTACCTGATGGTTTGGTAATTAGCCCATGCTCTGGCCGGGGTCAGCTGAGATCATTCCGCAATCCACTCTGTCCCTTCCTCTCCCCCTTGTCCCGGCTGCCCTGCCCACTGACAGCTTCCACTGGGCACTCTGTTCTTCCCATCCTTCCCGTGGCCACGCTTGACGGACGTCCCTGGAAAAGTGCCCCACGCCCCCAAACCCACTGAGCGCCAGGGGCTCCTCAGGCAGAGCTCTCTAAAGAGGCTCCTGCGGCTAGCCCCTGGAAGCCACAAGCTGCTTTCAGGGCCTCAGTTTCCTCATCTGTCAGAATGGGGAATGTATCCTCCCTTTCACGTAGCTCGGAGAGAAGTTAAACCAGAATCCCGTGGACTGGACAGGTCGTGGGAGTAGAGACTTCCTGGTCAGAGTGACCTTCGAGCCCCTGGAGAAGCCCCCGAAGGAGCCCCCGAAGGAGCCCCCGAAGGAGCCCCGGAGCCCAGCCTTCTTGGGGTAGGACCAGGGTTTCCTCCAGTTCCTTGCTGGGGGAAAGAAAGCCTTCCGTCCCGGGACTTGATTGGCCTGAAGCCTCCTAGTCTTCTGAGGGCATAAAATCCCTCTCCCGTGGTGCCAGGGCCCCTCCAAGCGTGTCCGAAGACCACGGGAGTCACCATACCCTGACCCCATTCAACGCTCTTTCCACCTCGATCTACTGTTTCAGGGGAGTCAGCCAACACTCAGTATGCGCTTATTAACCACCTATATACCCAAGACTTGGACTCAGAAGGGGGCAAAAGACAAGGGTGAGGCAAGAAACAGCCCCTGCCCTCAGGAAGCTTCAGGCCATTTGTTCTGTGAAGTTTGGATTCAGTCAAAGGGCCGCACTTGAGGACCTAGAGGGCCACACGTGGCCTCGAGGCTGCAGGTTCTTCCAGAACAGAAGGAATAAGGCAAAAGGAAAACTGGCTGGAATTTGGGATCATGGAACACAGTGCAGAAGAAAGGGTCAAAGAGGAGGTTCAGAAAGGGAGGGGGACCCCTCCCCTCAGCTGGGGCAGCACAGAGGGCTTCATGAAGGAGCCCCGGAGCTGGGTCTTCAGGAGGGGAAGGCGGTGTGGTGGGAACCGTTCCGGCCCAGGCGCCATAATCCATAGGAATGAGGATTGTGGCTGCCACAGAGCGCGCAGCTCCCCTCCGGAGACTCCCTCCTTTTGTGCGCCATCATAGCCCGTCTCTGGGTTACTTCCCATCGTCTTCTCCAGAGCCGGTCTGTACATCGTCATCGGACTGGGCTGGGGACTCCTGCTGGGCAACGCCGTGTTATCCCCTCTCTCTGAGGGGGAAGAAGCTTCCCTCTTAAAAGCTCCCAGGGTTTGGAAGGTTCAGGGTCTGCTCTGACACCTTTCAAGGCACCACGCTCCAGCCTGGCTACGGGACAGATGCGAGGAGCCGTGTGGCCGCTGGAATCCGCAGCGCTTGCGTGACACACCGCCCGGCACGCAGAAGGCTGTTGGCTGGCTATGCGTAGGGGCCAGGCACCGATGAGGTCCAAAAACAAAGGCAGCTAGGATTATCCAGGCAGTACCCATGGCCACAGAAGGCAAAACTGAGGGGAAAGGGGAGAGATCCCGAGGCAGACGTGGCTCGGCGGAAGGGAACGTCAGTGGACATGCCGGCTCTGGCACAGGCAGGGGGGAGCTCCCCATCCTTGGAAGTCTGCGGGTAGAGGAGCTTCCTGGCCCCCTGGGGGTGAGGCGCTTGCTGCCTGAGGTCCCGGCTCTTCCGAGATGCTGTGCTTCACTCCATCTCCCACATCCAACGTGAGGAAGACGCCCTCCCAACTGGAGCCCTGTGGCGTGGCGGGGCAGCGCAGAAGGAGAGAGGTTGCCTTCCCAGGTCACTGCCTTGTGGTGGAAGCAGGAAGGAGGACCTCCTGGGGCGGGCCACGGCCCCAGCCGCTTATCCTGCTGCTGGAGGGAAAGCCCAGCCGAGGGGCCCAGGCAGGCGGGACAGGGCACCCGGGCTGAGCCACGGGAGCAGGGCCATGGCCAGCACTGGTTTACCCTGGGAGCCTGACAGAGGGTACACAATGGTGCTTAATAATGATGATGACTCCTCGATGATTGACCCAGAGATCAGCTAACGTTCCTCAAGCCCAGGTCTGATCACACCACGCCGGGCTCGAGAACAGTCAGAGGCTCCCTGTCGCCTCTGGGAAAAATCCCCTCCTGCTTCTCTAGGCATTGAAAGCTCTTCACAGCCTCACTCCTGGGCTACTGTCCAGGTCCCTCAGCATTCCTGTCCCTTCATGCCCTCCACAGCCCAGCCCAACTGGTCTGCTAGCTACGATTGCCTGAACATCCCATCTCCCACCTCCAGGACTTTGCACAGACCGTACCCACGCCTGGCCTGCTGTCCCTCCTCGCCTTCCCCTCTCTCTTCCAAGGGTCAGCTCGCGGCTTCTCCTTGGGAAGATTTTCCTCATCTCCTCAGTCACTGGGGCTCTCTGCATCTTCCTGGGGTAAACCCTCCCCTCCCGCAACAGAATGTAAGCTCCTTGAGGTCAGGGAATGCTTTTGGCTTTGCCTCCCTACCACTGAGTCAGTCTGTCAGTCAGTCGACAAGCATCGATTAGGTACGTAGTGTGTGCTGGACACCGCGGGAAGTGCAAAACTGAGGCTCAGAGTAGGCACGCCAGGTGCTTTTTGGGTAAATCCCGACAGGCCAAAGCTGTCCCCCTCTACGGCCGCCTGAGGCCCCCTTCTCCCGTGCCCAGTGGTGTCCCCTGGGCCCCTTCCCCCTGGCCTACACCTGCCCCTGGATGCTCTGTCCGACTCCGCAGTAGTGGGATGGGAGCTGTCAACTGTTAAGATGGGAGGGTACTGTCACTATTATTATAGGAACCTTTAGGTGGGGTGGAGGGGCCTGGGCAAAGGTGCCCAGGCAAGAAGGAGCACAGGGAGTCCTGCAGGGAGGCCTTGGTAGGTAGTGAGTTCCCCATCTCTGGAGGTAGTCAAGCTGGATGACCGCTTCTTGGGCATTTTGCAGGAGGGATCCTGGTTCTGGTACAGTCTGGACAGGGTGGTTGCTGGGGTCTCTTCCTGCTCGAAGCTGCTGAATGCAGACAGGGTTGGGAAGAGAGCACACACGAGAGAAGTCTCCCTGGATCAAGTCAATTCAATTCAAAAAGCGCTGATCCAGGGGCTGTGCAAGGCCACATGCTTCGCACCAGCCATTCCGAGACACCTGGGTGACACCACCATGTATAGAGCCTCAGCTGGAGACAGGAAGACTTGAGCCTGAATCCTACCTCAGACACCAGCTGTGTGACCCACCCTGGGCTGTCTGCCTCAGTATCCTGAACTGTAAAATGGGGATAATAGCAATGCCCACCTCCCAGAGTTCTTGTGAGGATCAGACAGCACAGTGCCTGGCACAGAGGGACGTGGTTGTTCACTTGTGTCCAGCCCTATGTGATGCGACCCTATGGACTTTGTCCAGGGGGTTTTCTTGGCAAAGATACCGGGAATGGTTTGCAATTTCCTTCTCCAGATGAGGAAATGGGGCGAATAGTAAATGTCTGAGGCAGGATTTGAACTCAGGTCTCCTTGACTCCAGGCCCAGTGCCACCCAGCTGCCCCAATAGCTGGCACATAGAGGGTGCTATTTAAATGCCAGATATATTTCTTATTATTCCTTTGGGGGAAGATACCACAAGTAAGTGGCCAGGCAGCGGGTGGTTTGATGTGTGGAGCTCTGGACCACCAACCCAGGAAGACCAGAGTTCAAATGCCTTCTCAGCCACTTATGAGCATGTGACCCTGGGCGATTCACTTCATTTTTTCTCAGTCACAGTTTCCTCATGTGTAAAATGGGATAACAAAAGCACCCATGTCTCAGGGCTTTTGTGAGGATCGAGTAGGACAATGTCAGGTACTTTGCAGATTTTTAAGTGCTACATAAATGCTATATATGAGTGTTATCATTTTAAGAATCTGCATGATCATTTTTAGAGGAGGTGGGGCCGGCTTCCTGGAGGAGGTGGCCTTTCAGCTGGACCTTCTAAGAAGGGGAGGGGAGGAGAGATCAGAGGGCAGCAGTCTGGGTAAAGGACCAGGGTCAGTGGGAAGAGGCTGGCCTAGGCAGTGAAGACAGCGCATCCTGGGGCACCCCCCCCCCGGGGAGATGAGAATGCCTGCAACCCGGCCCCCCCCCCAAGACCGCTGTCCAGGAACTGTCGAGCTCTCACCTCTTTGGACAATTCTCTCTGTGGTCCCCACCCCCTGGGCTGCTCTCCCTCCTCATTTCTGCCTCCCGGGCTCCCCCCAAGTCCCTGCTAAAATCCCACCTCCTGGGGCAGCTGGGTGGTGCAGTGGACAGAGCACCAGCCCTGAAGTCAGAAGGATCTGAGTTCAAATCCGGCCTCAGACCAAGCACTTGACACTTGCTGTGTGACCCTGGGCAAGTCACTTAACCCCAACTGCCTGAGCAAAAATAACATAATAAAATAAAATAAAATAAAATCCCACCTCCTCCGGGAAGCCTTCCCCCACCAAACTTTGTTATTTCCTCTTCATCCTGTGAGTCGCTTGCTTGTAGCGACTTCTCTGCTTTTGTCTCTTCCGCTAGATTGCGAGCTCCTCAAGGACAGGGACTGCCTGGTTGTGTATCCCCTGCATTTGCCCGCACACAGTAGGTGCTTTATGTTTATCGATGGTGATACCGATGTAAGCAACACTCTCCCCGGCAGGCCTCCAACTCTGCCAGGAGAAGGGGAAGGCCGTTACCTCTTCTCTGGGACCCTCCCTCGTTTTTCCTTTACCCCGAGCTCCGTTTCCCCTTCAGGGCCCCTTTCACTGGCTTTGCTGTCATTACACTGTGTATGCGTGATGCAGAACCATTCCGTCTGAGCCCTGCCCTGCCCACTCCCACAGAGACCTGCTCTGCGCTGGGGCCTGTTCCCCTGGGTCTCCATCACCAGGAAGTGGGAGTGGACAGGGGCAGATGGCCAGAGTCCAGCTGCCCTCCTGACACCAGGGATCACTTCCTGAGGTGGCCCGGGTCATCAGCCTGCTCAGGGCCTCCACTTCCCCCCAGGGGGATTTAGGGCCAGGATAGGTTATATGGGCTTTGACCTCCCCCATCCCAGACCCGTCAGAAAGGAAAGAGCCCCAGCCTCAGAGGGCTCCAGGGAAACTTAGGGATGATCTCACTTTATGCCCTCATTTTACAAATAGGGAAACTGAGCTCCAGAGAGGGGGAGTGGCTTGCCGATGGTCACGAAGCCAGTACCTGTAAGGGGCAATATCTGAACCCAGGTTCTTGCAGATCCCCGTCCAGCACAAACACACCCATGCAAAGGCACCTCAGGTCCGAGCTGGGGAGTGTCAGCCCAGGGCCCTCAGCAGCTACTTCCCAGGCTGGCTCTAAATGGGCTTCTCTCAGCACCAGAGGCCTTGTCCAGGACCACCAAGCCTGGCTCAGCTCTGCTAGTCTCCGCACCTCTCATTTCCCCCCCCAGTCCATAGCCTGCCTCTTCCTCTGGGAACCAACCACCACATTACTGCTAGCTCCGTTGAGGCCATGCCGATGGTGGGCCCCATTGTGACACACACCATCTGGGTGCCTCCTTCCCTGGGTGTGTCCGCTGCACTCCTACTTAGTATGTAAGCTCCTTGGGGGTAGGACAGTCTTTAAGGCTTAGCACAGGCTTGGCATATTTGTGAGTGCTTAATAATGCATTCATTTATTCACTTCCAACTCAGCAGCCAGGACAGGCCCTGAGCTCATCAAACTGAGCTTACCAACGCCATCCCCAAATCTGCTTTTCCCCTTCCCTCCTCTTTTTCCTCTCCTTCCCCCCCTTTCCTCCTCCTCCTCCTCCTTCTTCTTCTTCCTCCTTCTTCTTCCTCTTCCTCTTCCTCCCCTTAGACATTGGCTAGCTGGGTTACTCTGGCAAATCACTTCACCCCTCTTCTCTAAGCCTCAGTTTCCTCGTCTGTAAAACAAGGCGGATGATAGTACCTACCTACCAGGATTCTTGCAGGGCTCAAAAGAGACACGTGTGAAATGCTTCCCAAATCTTAAGGCACTATAGAAATGCTGCCTATCATCATCGTCATCATGCCCTTCCCTCCACCTCTTAGAACTCTTAGATGCCTCCTAGGCTCGACTCAGGAACCCCCCTCTACCCACAGAAAACCTTTTCTGATGCACCGAGGGGCTCCTGCCTTTCCCCCAGGATGCCCTCGGCTGTACCTGTATGATGCGGCTCTCTCCACCATCTGGAAAACAGTCAGTCAGTCCATGCCGGGCACTAATCCCTTGCTGGCACCAGGTGCTGTGCCGATGGACTGGCCAAGGAGCCAGAGGAGGCCGACACATGCTTGTGGAGGGGATGCCTTGCAGAGAGTCAGGTGTGCACAGGATACACATGGAATACATTCGTTGTTATTCAGCCATTTCAGTGACGTCCAACTCTCCATGACTCCATCTGAGGTTTTCTTGGCAAAGATACTAGAGTGCTTCACCATTTCCTTCGTTAGCTCATTTTATAGATGAGGAGACTGAGGCAAACAGGGTTCAGTGACCTGCTGCAGGTCACACAGCTAGTAAATGTCTGAGGCCACATTTGAACTCAGGAGGATGAGTCTTCCTGACTCAACACGCAGTGCCTAACACGGTACCTGGCACACAAGAGGTGCTTAATAAGTGTTTATTGATTGAATGAATGAATATAAGCTCCTTGAGAACAGGAAATAGTTTACTTGTGTATTGTCAGCACCTAGCACATAATAGACACTTAATGCATGTTTGTTGAATGATGACAGACCATAACCATACATTCACTCAGTCCACAAGCACTTATAATTATGCCCTACTATGTGCCAGGCACTGTATTAAATACAAAGATGACAAAGGAAACAGTCCCTATTTTCAAGGGGACCCCAGCCTCCTTGGGAAATGCCTGGTGCACAGAGGAGTAAACACAAAACTTTTACAATGTGAGTGCAGTCATCTCGTCAGGGGCACTGGTAACAGGGTCTGGGTGTCTCGTGATAGAATGTGCAAACACACATGCTATGACTCACAAGCAAATACCAAAGACACACAAGGAGATTCACAAAGCACCTACTACGTGCTGGGCATTAAGTGGCAAAGCCCTGGCCTCTGGGAGCTCACATCCTAACTGGGGAGACGCATGTAAACTGTAGGTCCATAGCACTGGGCTACCTGCTGGGTAGAAGGTAATCCCCGAGGGAAGGCACTCACAGTGGGGGGTGGGGCAGGCAGGGAAAGACCTTCAGAAGGTGAGACCTGAGCAGTCTGGAAGGAAACCGGGGAGGGGTGAGGACGAGGAGGTCAACAGGCGTGAGGGACAGTCAGGGCAAGGTATGGCCATACGCAGGCATTGAAGAGGAGGGAGAGCAAGCTGGCCAATGCCACAGCCTTCATAGACACACACACACGCTTGAATATACTGCCGCTATGTGGGAACCGCATCTCCCCCGGGTTCCCTAAGGGAGCATCTGCAGATGAGTTCCCCAGAGCCAGGGCCTGGCCGGGGCACTGAAGGGAGAGGGAGGCCTTGGCTCCCAGCTCAGGCCTCCTCCCCCAGGCAGGTGGCACCGTCCTCTGACCCAAACATATGGTAGCACTCAGGCATGTAATCTGCAGGGGATCCCTGAGGCCAGCAAACTGAGCTCCTCCTCACCTTGGTCTTTCAGTCCGAATCTGGGCACTCGGGTTAATTAAAATCAACATTCTTCCAATTTCACCCCTTCTAAAATGTCTGAGAAACCTTGATACGGCATGAAGGGTGACCCGGCTCAGCCACTGGCCCGGGGATAGCAGGCGCCCTCACTGGGCCCTGTCTCCTCAGCAGCTCCCTCTGGTCTGGGTCAAGACCCCGCCTGGGCCCCATCGGGCAGGAGCAGGCTCCACTCTGTTGTCACCCAGAGACCAGCGTTGGCCAACTGGAATCTGAGGGGCCTGGGGTGGGGATTGAACTCCACCTCACACTAGAGTAGCACCATGGTCTGCTTGATGGCCAAACCCCCAAAGCAGAAAGAAGGAACAGTGATTCTGGACAGGCAGAGCCCGGGGCCCTCAGACGCAGGGCGCTCAGCATGTCATCCCCAAACAAGAGCATCTGGAAGGTCTCTCCATGGAGGCAGAATCCCTCCCCAAGCCAGGCTCAGTGATGGACACCCGCCATGACAGTGAGGAACACCCGGGAAACAGGAACTGCCTTCCTCTTGTAGGCTTCCTTTGATATGGATATGTGATTGGATAGGTGGATGGATGGATGGATAGATTGACTAGATAGATAGATAGATAGATAGATAGATAGATGATGGATGGATAGATGGATAGATAGATAGATAGATGATAGATAGATAGATAGATAGATAGATAGATAGATAGATAGATAGATAGATAGATGGATGGATGGATGGATAGACAAGATAGATAGATAGATAGATAGATAGATAGATAGATAGATAGATAGATAGATAGATAGATAGATAGATAGATAGATGGATGGATGGATGGATGGATGGATGGATGGATGGATGGATGGATGGGTAGGTAGATAGATAGATAGATAGATAGATAGATAGATAGATAGATAGATAGATAGATAGATAGATAGATAGATGGATGGATAGATGGAGATAGATGGATGGATGGATGGATGGATGATGGATGGATGGATGGATAGATAGACTAGATAGATAGCTAGATAGCTAGCTAGCTATCTAGCTAGCTAGCTAGCTAGATAGATAGATAGATAGATAGATGGATGGATGGATGATGGATGGATAGATGGATAGATGGATGGATAGATGGATGGATGGATGGATGGTGTCAACAGGCAATTACAATGTCATGTGAATTATGTGAAAACCAGGTTTATTACAAGAGAAATAAACATGCATGTGACAGATGGAGAGGCAGACAGATAGATAGATAGAACCTTTATTAATCACTATGTGCCAGGCACAGTGCAAAGTGCTAGGAATGCAAGTAGAAGCAAAAAGACAGTCCCTGCCCTCCAGGAACTTACATTCTAGCCAGGGAGACCGCACATAAAGCCGGGGGAGTGCACAAGGTAGTGGGGTGGTCTGGGCCACCAGGGGCTGATGCAGGTCTAAGGAGAGCGGGCTGGCCGGTGGGGACGCTTCCTCTCGTGGTCTTGCGGCCAGCGGGAGGCAGATGACCAAAGATTGCCTGACGGCCCTTCCTTTGCGGTTGCGTCTCTGGAGGAATCGCTCCGACCTTTGAGGAGGGCGTGAGGTTGGCAAAGGCTCTAAGGGCGCATTCCGTTCTCCCGGGCAGCTCCGCGGAACGCTGCATCTCCACTTTTGATGGGTCGAATGCAGGTGCGCTGCGCCCGCTGCAGAGCCGGCTTGCGCACTTTCCGCTAAAAGGCCATGCACACAGCGAGGTGGCAGGGCGTGCACAGACCCACAGAGGGTCTGACCAGTGAAAGCTGCCGGGTGGCTCAGTAGATGTGAGTCAGAGACACGAGTTCAAATCCTGCCTCAGACACTCACTAGCGGCGTGGCGCCAGGCAAGTCGTCTGACCCGTCTGCCTCAGTTTTCTTATCTGTAAAAATGGGGACAAGAGCCTATCATCCCCAGGGCTGCTTGGGGATCCAGTGGGAAGGATCCGTAAGGGGCAGCGGCGAGCTCCCGCCCAGGGCTCCGGTCCAAACACTGACCGTTCCGCCCAGAGACCTTGGGCTCCTTTTCTGACCTCGAGCTTCCTCTCCCCACAAAATGGGGAGGGTCGGGTGTGCCCCTCACTCCTCAGAAAGACGCAAGGGGCTGCCCAGAGCCCCCGGCCCGTGGGGGTTGGAGTGCCGGGAACCTGCATCCCTCTTCTACAGAGCAGGGGCCTTGAATGCCGCCCACAGATTACGGCCGTGACTGGCAAGTCCTGGGGAGGGTGGGGGTCTGGGAGAAGGGCGTGAGGAAGGGGCCGCCCCGCCCGGCAGGGGCTTCCTGTTCAGGTACACACGTTGTGGAACCTGAGGAGCTGGGTTCAAATCCAGCTCTGGCATTGATGGCTCTGTGACCTTGAACAAGTCACTGGCCTTTTCTGGGAGAGACCTCTGGGACCCCTTCCAGACCCCTCTGGGGCAGGGCTTTCTCTTGGTCTCTGGGGAGCCCCCGGCCCCTCCCCATAAGGAGGTCGGATGGCGATCTGCACAGAGAGGGGGCCGGCGCACACAAGGAGGTCCCCGAGGGCTGGCGCGGCAGGGGGGCCCGCACAGCAGGGGGCTCCCGAGGCCCCGCACCAGGCTGGCCCGGGAGAACGGTCGGAACCAGAGGAATCCACCACGATCCTGGGAACCGTGGGGCTGGGCTGGGCCGGGAACTAGAGGGGACTAGGCGACGCTCGGCTGACCTCACGTGGCCGAAAGGGGACACTGCAGCCTCCGCAGCCGGCCCCGCCGAGTGGGCTGAGAGCGCCACCGTGCGGGGGCAGGGGGAGAGGCAGGGCCGGGGCTGGGGAGAGGGATGGGGACAGAG